TTCTGTTGGAGTGTCTGACCCTTGGGATAGACCAAGATTTGCTCAGCATAAGTTTGAAGGGTGGGCGTGAAGTACGGCCGAGAAATGTTAAAATATTATTAAAAAGTAATTAATCCTGAATTATGTCGCTCTTTTGTCAAGTGTTTTAAGATAAAGAATTGGTTTTTTGGTTTCCACAGTGAAGAGTATGAACAAAATTCAGATGGGGTAGTCGAAATTTTAGATTCCGATTTTTTTTAAGCTATGCATTACAAAAAGTAATAATGGTATGTGATTTATGTCACAATTATATCAATACAAATAAAACATCCAAAAAAATTTTTTGACAAAAGTACACCATAGAAAATCAATTTTCAATTTAGGGGCGACCCTAGTCAAAATAAATTTTGTCACTTTTTTCTTCGAGGGTTTATCCAAATGGATTGAAACTTTGCATAAATATTCTAGTGCTTAAAACAAATACAAATAGAACATCTTAAAATTTTACTGAGCAAAGAACCAAGCAGGAAATACATTTTCAATTTTTGACTAGGGGCGACCCCAGTCAAAATCAATTTTGTCACTTTTTTCTTCGAGGGTTTATCCAAATGGATTGAAACTTTGCATAAATATTCAAATGCTTAAAACAAATACAAATAAAACATTCTAAAATTTTTTTGAGCAAAGAACCAAGTAGGAAATACATTTTCAATTTTGGACTAGGGGCGACCCTAGTCAAAATCAATTTTGTCACTTTTTTCTTCGAGGGTTTATCCAAATGGATTGAAACTTTGCATAAATATTCTAGTACTTAAAAAAATACAATAAAACATCCAAAAATTTTTTTGAGCAAAGAACCAAGTAGGAAATACATTTTCAATTATGAACTTGGGATAGGTCCAGTCATAATCTAGTTTTTCACTTTTTTCTTCGAGGATAAATCCAAATACAGTGAAACTTTGTATGAGCATTCTAATCTTCAGGTCACACATTTCTGAATTAATAAAAATCATTTTTTGGACAAAATTTTAAGTCACGTTGTTTTTGAATGTGCAACCAAATTTATAAAATTTGGGTCTGACGACATATAGAATACATTTCTTGCTTTAGATATTTAAGACTGTTTTGTATAAATATTAGTATACTTACACAAAGTTTCACTGTAATTGGATAAACCTTCGAAGAAAAAAAGTGAAAAACTAGATTTTGACTAGACCTATACCAAGTTCATAATTGAAAATGTATTTCCTACTTGGTTCTTTGCTCAAAAAAATTTTTTTCATCCAAAGTTTAATTTAAAATAAAAAAAAAATCAGAGTGAACTTTTAATTTGAAAAATTCGAAAGAAAGGAAGGTTTTTTGCCATTTCTGAAGCAACGGCTGTTCCTACCATGCCCAAAAACAATACAGCTCTTCTATAGAGCAGCACGGATCAAATGTAAAAAACTAGAAGTCTCTACGATGTCTCGTTATTGAGATTTCTTGCTGATTAACTTGCTTGCTTGCTTACGTGCTTGCTTGCTTGCTTGCTTGCTTGCTTGCTTGTTTGCTTACAGAAAGCGTATTTTGCGATTTTCTCAGCAATGCCACAACCAATTTGAAATCTGTTTTTTGAAAATGATGTAAAATTTCAGGCACAAACTTTTCTTCTGTGACCTTTAAAACCAATTTTGCTTTGTTTTCTCACAAAATGCGAAAAACTGATTTTTCAATCTGAACAAAACCAATAGATTCACACGTGAAAACGGTGTGAATATAAACATGTTTATAAAAGCCAAATAAAAGCGAAACTATCCTGCTCAAAAGAACGCAGCTGGACAGCCTAAACATGTGTAATAATTTTTCAAACCACGGGTTGAGCTCATGATTTATTAATATAAGTGAAAAACAAGGTCTGCCAATGCGGGATTCGAACCAACAACATTAAATTGCATTACATTAGATTTTCTGCCAAGTATCATAATCATTCGGTCACCTAGCTCCTTGAATCAAAATGAATATTATGCATCTTAGTTTGATACCCTTCTAAATCAAATCTCGAATTCTCCCACAAAATACCCCCTTCATGAGAAGCTCCCCAAACATAGTCACAATCTGAAAAGTTCATTAATAATTACAACCACGAAATATCTATAGAAACTTTGTCTCTATATTATTATGTTGCCAACTTCCCATCAATAAATAAAATAAGATGATATGAGATGTGATGAAGAGTAAAAGACAGTGATTTGTAGGTAGCAAATGAGTATACGTAGGAGGGGATGGAAATGACAAATGTGTGAAAATTCATTCGTTAAAATGCGAGAAGGCATGAAAGAGGAAAAAAAGGAACCCTCAAATATGTTATGAGTAAAACATCTTAATATAATAATATACATCCCGTAATTTATATCATCATCATCAAAATAATACCTAACATTAATCGAGGCATGAAATGTTCTCCTTACATCCTTGCTGTGTATCGATTTCAATTTTCTTTACCTAGTGAATTCTTAAGAGCAACAAGAAGAAGTGCTTAAAGGAATATAAAATCTTTTGCTATGACAACAATTTTCATTCGTCAGTGATTTAGATTTTCATAATCTCATTCTGCCTGTGATTTTTTTTTTTTTTGTGTTCAACGCCACTTATTTAAAGCTATAAAACATTTCTTTTTATGCTCAATCGAATGTGCCACTTAACATGAAGATTTTCACTTCTTGGTACAATAATTTTCCTTTCCTTATCTTATGCTTGCTTGATTTCTTGTTAATTCAGGGTTGTGACAGTTGATTGAGTTGATTTCCTGTTCAATAATCTTCATGGATGTGCTATTTATTGATATTTTTAGATTTAAATTTTGGAAAGTTCTTGTATATTTACATGACGTACTTTTAGGCATTTGAATAAATATTCGCATGGATCATATTTAGATTTCAGAGAATTATTTTGGTCAATAAAATTGCTGATAATATTTATTTATAAAACTGAACGTTGGTTAAGTGGGCTTGATGAATGGCCATCGAATGATAAGCTTCTAGAGAAAGCAGGTCAACAAGACATCAACAAGGAGATAAAGATGAGGAAGTATGAAAAATGCCAGGGATTATTTCATTGCAGGGACAGAAACACAAGGTTGTTACACTGCCCTTGGTTGGAATCCGCAAGGGAAAAGACCATGCGAATACACTCGGGATTTTTGGGATTAATCCGAAAAAATCCCAGAAAATACTAGCAGAAATTTGGCAAAGACGTCCAGGAGCTTCAAAAGCTACTTGGTGCAGAACAGTGATGAAAGAATGTCAGCTGAATGTGCGGACAGAGAAATTGTACAAACTAGGTGACAGAGCCAGCAAGAGAATCAGATGGAAAGCCTTGTTGTTACCAAAGCTCCACATAGGAACATGGTAAGTAAGGGAGACGGGTTAGTGTGGGACGAATTGAAAAAAAAAAGATAGAGAAACTTTCTTTATTGATCTGATTAAAATTTTAGTTTAAGCTACGATTTGAACCTGTGCTTTCTTGTTTTTTGAAACAAATTTATTTTCGGTCAATAACGTAATCATTTAACCATCGAGAACTTACTTTCAATTTGGCAGATTCCTCTACATAAAGCTCAAAATCTGAGATTCTGCTTTAATTTTACTTGATCGTAGTTAAGTTCAATTTTATCCTTTATGATTCAGAAAACTTAACCAAGGAATTAAAAAAGTAAGGATTTAAGCATGTTTGAGCATTATTCCTTTGAATTAATTGCTCTGATGGCATTAATGCATGCTGCCTCCTTTTTACAAACAGACCCAACCCTGCTAGATTAATCTTGAAGCTCAACTAACAGCCTACATCTTTTCCTTCCCCTAAATTTATCCAATATACAGTAATGACAAACATTGTATGCACTTGTTAATGTGAATTGACGTAGAAAATTATTTTTAAGGACGATATTTGCATAATCTAAATAAATAATGAGTGAAATTATTTTTAAACATCAAAAATTCTGCATATTTTTAAGGTTCATTATTTTTTTAATATAGAGATTTTTAAATCATAAAATTTTCTAGAAACAAATGATTTGAATATCTTTAATGATTATTGTATCTAAATTTCTGTTGCTAAGGAATGTGTCGAGTGATTTGAGCAATGATTAATACACTTGAAGGATTTCTTGAACAGATAAATAAAGCATAAACACAAATATAGATTGGATTATTTGAAAATAATTTGGTTGTAATTACTTAGGGGCCATTCACTTATTACGTAACGCTTTTAGGGGGAGGGGGGTCTAAGATTTTGTTACGATTCAAACAAGGAAATTTTTTTTTCATACAAATTTTGTTACGAGGGGGGGGGGTCTAAAAAGTCATTTTTTCGCGTTACGTAATAAGTGAACAGCCCCTTAAAGTTGATATTCATTACTTAAAGTTATCACAAAGGAACTGATCAATATTTTTAAATTAGAATCATAAGTTTCAGTAGTTTTGGAAGAATTTTTGAAGCCCGAATAAGGTACTCAGAGTCTTGAGCTTTGATATGGAAGCTTATATCAATATTATCTGGTCTGAAATTACAGATAAAGGATGATTTTGAACCAAATTTTTTCTATGCTTAACGTAAAGTCATGAGCATTGTGCGAATCCTTGTCATATCGACAACACTCTATGTAATGATTGAGATATCAGTCTCTGGTGGGAATCGAACCCCCGTTCTCACACAAGAGGTTTACAGATATCCAATCTGTTGCCTAACCGCTCGCGCAGAGCCTTAACGCACGCACTGCAGATTCGCCTATATAAAAAATTAGTATTTAATCAATTATTTAAAAAAAATCCAATAAGAACAGCAAAATCGCATACATATCCAATAAGAATCTCACATTTCTGTCCCACTTCAATTTCCAGTACTTTACCCAATCCAATTCAATAACGCACACAACTCAAATCTGTTTATGTTTTCATTCCATCTCGCTCGCACAACAGTCATTTTCCCACGGATCATGCATCACAGAACTGAACTAAATTGAATCGACATTATATCTGACTAGTCACAAATAAAGGAGTAGCTAAAAAAGAAGTTTTTACAATATTTTATTGAAATTTTGTATTTTTTTGTCAAATAGTAAAATATCCAAATGTCCGGTAGGCCAATTAAATGTGTAGTCGTTGGTGACGGAACAGGTAAATGTTGAAGAAAACATCAAAAGTGCTTTAAAATTGACAATTTTATGTCCACAGTTGGAAAAACATGTATGCTAATATCACTCACAACTGATAGTTTTCCATCGGAGTATGTGCCGACAGTAAGTCTTAATGACATTAATTATCAAAATTTCTAATGCCTAACAAGTGAATCTCTAGGTCTTTGACAATTATAGTCTACCAACAGTCGTGGATGGCGTTCAAGTTAGCATAGGATTATGGGGTAATTTTTTTCTAATGTTTTATGACTCACAGTCGAGTCTTATTTCTCTTTCCATATTTTTCATTCCATCATCGCTACAAAAATAACACAACAATATTATGAATAACAGACACAGCAGGTCAAGAGGACTACGATCGATTAAGACCTTTGAGTTACCCCCAAACAGACGTTTTCCTCATTTGTTTCTCCGTTGCAAGGTACGATACGATACATTAGTCAAAAAAAAAATGTTTATATTTAGAAGAAGAAAAATAAGTTGAAGATAAAAGTGACTTATGCCGCATTTCCATTTCCATTAATTCATTTTAGCCCTTCCTCATTCGAGAATGTTACGTCAAAATGGTATCCAGAACTGAAACATCATTGTCCAGAAGCTCCAATTATTCTCGTTGGTACCAAAATAGATTTAAGAGATGATAGGGAAACGTTAAGTGCATTGGCTGAGCAGGGACTGTCGCCGTGTAAAAGAGGTATGTTGGATAGTGACTGAGTTAAGTGTTGTCCTGTTATAATAATTTGGGTGAGACTAGATCCTCAAACTATGCATCCAGGTAGACCCCCTAGCTACCTCACTGGATCAATCTGTGAATAAAACCCAACAGGAAGTGACAAATATTTCTGTGAAAATCTTTGTGTACAATAAAGTGACTCAATCTTCACATCTGTATGAGAAAAAAAAATGTTAAGTGATTACTGTGAAATAGACTAGAAAATATCAGCAATTGTATCTGACAGAATAGATTAATATGAAAATATTTACATTGCAAATTTATTGAAATTTAAAACAGCACAAAAATGTTGATTACGTGATGAAGATTTTAATCATTTCAATCGTCTATAAATTGGCAATGAAAATTAATATGGATTGATCGGAATTTATTCAATCGATGGGAGGTATCAAATTTTGATTCTATTCATAATTTTTTTTTGGATATAGTTGGTAGACTATTCGACGGGTGCTTTGGTGTAAAAGGTGATGAAATAATATAAATGGATTTTCTTTTGGGTTGAGCTGAGTTAGAGTAAATTTGGTATGGTGCCATATTGCGTGTTGATAGAATATTGAGTTTGAAATGTGAAAATAATTTGAATAAACTGCAGAAATGTCTGTAAATTTAGGAATTTTAATTAGCAAGTTTGGCAGATTTCGATGTTTATTTTAAAATTTTGAATATGTCTTTTTGTGGGATTGTATTTCAGTCCCGAGCTATACACTACATTAGGGGCTGTCATATTCTACACATCATTCATAGATGTCATTTGAACATCATTGTCATGTCGTGTTAAGTGGTCTAGAATAGTAGTGAGCAACCTTTTTTGTGACTCGCACCGGTCTCTTAAAAGATCTTTGACTTTCATGTGCTGCTCGGTAAATTTTCAATCAAATTTCTCATGCCACTCAAATACCACAAAGCAATTATTAAGTCAAACTACACAAATGATCTCCAAATGCTCATCAAATCCATCAATAACTCATCGGCACCAAATTTAAAGATTGACGACACACAAGCTAAGATTGACGCTTAGAATACAAGCTTACATTTCCTCAGACAGGTTCCATAAATTATTATAGAAATGTAAATTAAAATTCCATCAATAGATTTGCAAATTGAAGCTTTTGTAGACGTTGAGTCATAGACAATAAAATTAAGAAGAAAATATTGCTTTTAAAATATATCAGCAAAGTCATTCATGGCTGAAAGAAATAATATTTATGCGTGAAAAGATCTTGAATGGGAACTGAAGCGTTTCATATTGAATTATTGTTGCTGGAATTGGAATTGATTTGTTATGGGATGGAGTGACAGTTTTGTGGTTTGACGGAAGTTGTGAATGGGAAAAAAATGCTGGAAATTTAAGAATTTCAAAAAATTAAAACTCAATTTTAAAAAGAATTAATTTTTCAAACTTTCAAATTTGAGTTTAAAATTTTTAAATATTTTGAAATTTTTATTTTAATTTTTTGAACATTTCAAAATTTTAATTTTAGTCGATTAAAAAAATCAAAATTCAATTTTAAACTTTATGCAAATTTTTAAACTGTAATTTTAAAATTTTTGTAAATGAATTTCAAATTTTTTCGATATAGGTAAATGTTGAAAATTGTTAAAAGATATTTAAAAATAGAAAAACATAAACCCAAGATAATCTTTTACAAAATATCAAACTCAAAACCATTTCCAGAAACCTAAAAAATTCTCAATTTCACAACCCGCAGCTTTAACATTCAATCCAAAATGTAAGAAAGAAAGAAAATATTTCTTGATAAGACTATAAAAAGAAACGAATTAATTAAACATGAGCATCGGAGATGTTAATTAGTTTCAATTAAATTTATTACCCACTCTATCAACTCTGTAAGCTAGAAAGTAATCACTTGATGTTTCCATTCAGAGAGTCATAAATTATTTGCTTTAAACAATCATCGACACTATCAATTTCTAATCAATTTTTTTTTTATTTGCAGAACAAGGACAAAAATTAGCTAATAAAATTCGTGCTGTAAAATATATGGAATGTTCAGCGTTGACTCAAGTAAGTTTGCAATCAATTTAAAAATGGAATGAAGTTTTTTTTTATAAGGAAGTAGTTTATTAAAAATAATATTTGCGATTCTTTTCTTAAGTAATACGAGTAATACAATTGATGTCGTTTCTTATTATGCTCGAATTGGTCGTCTGCTCTTTGGTAATCATCAGGGGTGCAGCCTGGAATTTGAAGGGCGAGGGGGGGGGTTTCAAAAAAATTTATTTCAAAAATTTATGGGGGGATTCAAAGGATTTTTCATAATAACCCTAGCTAAATGAAGAAATTTCTGTTAACGTAGGGTGCTGTCCCTGGCTATGTGCCTGGTGGTCATCCTTATATATGAGTATTGTATTATATGAATATGGCTTTAGTTTGTTCAATCTTGAGGAAAAGGTCCGGAATCATTTAGTTCTATCTCTGAATATGCTCATTAGTTGTTCAGACGTGGTTTAGACCAAATTTTTAAAGTCCTTTCTAGTCCACTAGTTTAAGAGTTATACGTAAGAGTGTCTCCAATTTAAATATGACATAAGATATAAGCCAGGAGAAAAGATTGAGACAGTTTTAAAATGCCTTAATAAATAAGTCGTTAAAAGCTATAGCTTTAATAATTTGGAAAACATTTTCTAATTCAATTAAACTAATCGAATTAAAGCTGATTAATTAAATCAACAAACTTAAACAATCATAATGTTTTCCTGATTTAGACAGTTATATGAACAACTTTATAAGCCTGAAATTTGTATAAACACAAAATCAACCCCTTTTCTTTAAATTACCTGAATATTTATCGCCTTCTGGAATCTTACATACCTTCTTCAAGAATGCTTCACATGTGACCCCATTTTATTTAAATCCATGATTACGATACAACTGCAGACCGTCTGATCAATATACACAACCCTTTACTTATAAAAGTCGTCTGCATGAGACCCTCATTATATCCAACAACTACTCAAAATAATAATTTTTTATGTAAAAAATTTCTCATAAAATTCAATTTAATTTTAGAGAGGACTTAAGCAAGTATTTGACGAAGCAGTTCGAGCTGTTCTCCGACCAGAGCCCATAAAGAGAAGACAAAGAAAATGCATTGTTATGTAAAACAAGCAAACAAGAAAAAAAAGTAAAATTCTTTAAGTCAAAGCCAAGTCCCAAATAGAATCATCAAATGAATACTCATCGTAGATATTATTCAGCATATTCAACATAAAAGGCATTCAAACAACCAAAAAAAAAAGAGTAAATGAATGAATAAGAATCTCCAAATTTGATTTAAAAACTTTTTTAAACCAAACAAGATTTTTTTTTTTGTGAACCTACAGCAGTTACATTTTATACAATTACTATATAATTTAGATAGCTTTTTTAGACGCGACTTTTAGGACAAGAAGGAAATGATTTTTTTGTTTGTTGGACATTAAATCTTTTTTTATTATATTATAGTCAGCAATATTGCATATTATATTGATTAACAAGTTCTTTTTAATAATTATCATTATTAACGATGCAAAACTTGATGCCATAAGCCATTGAACATTTAATCAAAATGCATTTCAGACGTGTTTTTTAATTAAGCTCAAAGAAATTAGTCTTGATTGTCCTTTAAAGTTGGGTGGAAATGAAAAGGTCTTTGATGAAGAGTTGAAAGACAGTAGTTATCACTAGATGCTAGGCTAGGGAAGTCATTGATTGCCATAGACGCATGTAGTTCTATGGAAATTTGATTAAGATCTGATTATCAATGTTAACTGGACAGTTTTCGAAATGGCACACGTCGTAGAAAAATTGCAGCAACGTGGAACCTGACTGGTACAAAGTTGGCACTAGATGCGCGCACACACCAGTCTGGCGACTCTATTTTGCAACTTATCCAGGTTGTGTGCTGTTCGGGACTCATTCAGAAAACAATGACTAAGCACAACGATCATCACATTTGTCTAAAACGGTTTAAATTTACAGTCTAGCCAATTTGAAGTACTGACTGGGAATTATAAAAATGAGACACAATGTTCGTTGATTTTTGATTTAACTTTGATACAGTTCATAGATTCAATAGCCCACAAAATCATAATACTCATATAAAACCTCAAAATTAATATCAAAGTAGCACAAAGCTTGTCAAATTTCCAATAATCTGCAAAATCAGATCTGAAACACCAATAATCACAGCCATAAATACTCAAATAATTACCCGACTTTAAATAACTTATAGAATAATTGATCAGTTAATTCACAGAACTCAATAAAATTAAATCTGATATTTAATCGCCAAAAAACACCTCGCATTTCCATATCCACAGCATTTAAAGGACACACCAGACAATTTATTATCATCACTATAAAAAATAATTATGTATTGACTATCATTAATTAATCATTAATTAGCTTAATAATTTAAATTTTTACTATGTTTTATTAAAAACATTTTTATCATTTATACACTGAGAGAAATGAATTTTTAAATAGAAAGACATTGTAGGAATTGTGAAGGAATTATTAAGACATAAAACTATAAAATTGGCAACGAAGAAAAAATCTTTTTTGATTAAATTGAAAAAATTATGTTGAATTTAAAAAAATTTGAATTGTACTAAAAATATAAAGCTAGTTTTTATCAAAAAGTCTTCTTTTTCTTTAGTGTTGTCTAGTAAGGCACCAACCTGTGTAAAGCTATCCTTTATAGAATATTATAAAATTTATGAAAAAATTGAATGTCGATCTTAAAAAAGTTTTGATACCAATGAAATGCTCTCGGTGTATAGGATTGAGGGAAGAAGGAAAGAAGCAGAAGAAAAGTTTGTTTTGCTTAGAAAAAAAAACATCGCATATCGTCAAAAAGGCCATAATTAGAAGTTATTCATATTAGATAAGACAAAGAAATTGTAAAAAATACTTTGATTTTTAAAAACTTGTCATTTTAAGGATTTTAAAATTGACAAAATTAAAGACCTTCCAAAAATTCAAAGAAAAAAAAATCTGAAAAAATGAAAAAAAGATTTTAAAAAATATAAAATTTTGATTAAGAACCAATCCTGTTACCACAAAAAAAAACACATAAAAGAATATTTTTTTGAGATTTAATTTTTATTGTACTTCGGAATGATTAACAAGTTCTTATGAATTTTTCAACATATTTCAATGAAACATTTTCTCTATTACGTATGATGTGAAGGCTCAATTAACAAATTCTTTTAATCATTAACATCATCTTTTATCATATTAATTTTTAACACAAAAATAAAATAGAAGCTATTAATCAAATAATTAAACTTATATGTATGGGATTTGTGAATTTTTAAGATGAAGATTTTTTTATTATAAAAACTTTTTTTTTGAATTTTCAAAGTTTATAGTTTTGAATGTCTTGAGTTTTATTAAATTTCAAAACAAGTTTTTTAAAAAATAATAAAAAGATTGAAAATTAAATTAATAAATTACAAGAACTAGAGTTTTTAATATAAATATTAAAAAATAATTATTTATCTTTGAAACATTTTAAAATTTTTTATAAAAATAAGATTCAAATTTTTAAATTTTCAATTTTTTAAAAATAACAATATTGATTTTAATTTTTATAGCTTAATTTTCAAAATTTTAAAAATATTACATTTTGTAAAATTTTAAATTCAGTAAGAATAAGTATTAAATTTCTAAATTGAAAAAATTATCAAATTCATCTTTAAAATCACAAATCCCTTTCATCAAGATTTTTCTTGGCTTTTTATCATTATCATTCTATCAATTTCAAGTTAAGAAAAGTGAAAAATTTATCATATTTTACTGTCATAAACTAAAAAAAGACTTTTTGAAAAGGAAATTTTGAAGAATTTTTAAAGAAACATATTTATTATTTTATATAAAATCAAAAGCAGCTATGAATGTTGACTATATTCTTTTATGAGGCATTTAGATAAGCTTTTGGCTATTTTTTAAATTTTTTATATTTTCTTGTGCCATTTTCTAAATCTTTCATTTCATTATCTCTAAATTAGAGTCATTTTAATTCTAACTTAGGTTAAGGTTTAGTCAGGGGTTTAGTCAAAAAAATTAAAAATTCTATTTTAAAACTTTTTTGGAAATTTTATAAAACTTCAAATTTTATTTTCAAAATTTTTAATTTTTTTTATAATTTTAAAGTTTATATTTTTTCATAATTTAAAATTTGAAATTCTTTTAAAATTTGAAAAGTTTTAAAAACTGATATTTTTAACTTTGTCTAGCTTTTGACCCAAATCTCTAAAAATTCGACCAATATTCATTTAAATTTTAAGCCATAACTCATTCAATCATCTTCAAAAGCCAGACTTTGTAAACTTAGGGATTTTTTAAACTATACAATTATACCCCGAAATCTTTCCAAGTCTGAATTGAGACACAAAAGAACAATTACTAACTTAGTTTCTTATATACTAATACTCTCTTTCACTATTAATGCATTTACAATCTGTTATTAATTACTTTTTTCTTTCATTACATTTACTTTTCTTTTCAATAAGAAATGCTTTGTATCAATCCTATAATAATGAAAATGATGAAAAAAAGATGAAATCTAAATTAAAATATGACAAAAAAATACTAACAGCTGCTATCTAATTAGAATGTTTATTGTGAAATAGAAACGAAAAACAGTGGAAGGAAAAATAATAAAGGACAAAAAAGTACGTTTTTAACAAAAATAAAAATTTTAATTTTTATTTTTTTAACTTTTCAGATTTAATGTTATTAAAATTAGAATAAAAATCTACAGCATAACTTTTAAACTCGAAATTTATCATATTCATAGGATTCGAACCTTCAACTGTGATAAACAATTTTAACCAGGTTTTCGTTTTAATAATTTAAATTCAATTCTTAAATTTTAACTTTGACAAAATTTAAATTTAAATTATCTTAAATTTTTTTCTCCTATTTTTCTGATACGAACAATTCAAGAGTTTCGACCGTTACAGTTTCTAAGAACACTTGCAAAAATGTCTTATTTGTCTGTCTGCCATGCAAAATTCGAAGTTTCATACCCTGCAGTTCAAAATTTTCGAAAATTAGGAAAAAATAAAAATTTAAATTAAGCAATTTTTTCATGAATTTTTTAGGAAAATATTATTTTATCATTTGATATTAAGCATAATATAGCTAGATTTGTTTTCAAAACTATCAAAAACTTGAATAAAATGACAAAAAATTGTAACAGTTTTTCAAATTTAAATTTTTCGAACGTGCATATTAAAACACCCCTAGACTTTCGATAAGTCTGTCGAACATGATTTGAACGTATCAGCTATTTTTAAATATTTTTAAATTTCACATTTTTTATAGCTTCAATAAATTGAAAGATGAAATTCATAAGAATTCATTAACCATTTTCTAATACAATCCAAGTTTATTTTATCAATATCTACAGCATACATCTTACTTTTTAAATATATTTAAATGCAGTTAAATGATGAATTTAAAAAGAGTTTGTAACATGTTTTTTTGTTTTTTCTTTTTGAAATGATAAAAAATTTCTAAAACTTTGTTAATTTAAGTTCTTACAAACTTTAAAGTTACGTCTTAATTTCATACAATCCAAAATTCAATATCTTACTCCAATGTAAGCAAACAGAAATTTTCAAGGTTGTTATTTTTTGAATTTTGAATATTTGAAGTTCTTATTTTCAAAAAAATTCGTTATAAGTTCTTATTTTTTGAGTAATTTGTAATGGTATATTTCTACTACTTATGATTAAGATAATCATTGTGATTAAATGGAAGGAAATTTTTGATATAGGAAAAAAATACCTCGCGAAAATTTCAAAAATATTTTGTTTGTAACAGACTTTGTTCTCTTTGCTAACATCAAATCTAACCATCAGCATCAATTTAATCAAAGATTCGAAAAAACCAAACGATATTACAAACCTCTCCAAAAATCCATCATCATTATTCAAGCTGATTTTTCATTAAACATTTTTTCAAGCATGCAGCCTCAATAAATTTTTATCATCTAATCAATTGTATACGTCATTACTAGACATCAACCAACTGTTTAATTATACTTTCCTGATCTAATCATAATCTTCTGTCAAATCAAATAAATCATCAAGACTTTTCACTGTCGGAAAAGTTGAAAATTATTTATCTTTTTCCATTTTCATTTCAAATAAAAGCAATAAAATTGTAGAATGAAACTTAATATTTAGCTGAAGTGAGCTTTTTCCTACCAAAAAAGCCGTTCAACATGTTTCCTTCCAATCGACTCTCGCTGCTGACTTAGTCGCCGTTTCCTCGAACAAATACTTATTTGGATTATGCGTCGTGTCATGAACATCTGAAAGATTGTGT